TAAGATTATTTAAAAGAAAATGTGATTACCATGATAACTAGACTGCATTGAATATTATGCTTTCCTGCGATATACAAATTAAAATCTAAAAATGTTTTAAACATCAAAACAGTATGAACTGAAAACATATACAATTAAATGCAATATATTATACTTACTTATAAGTTTATTAAACTATATTTATATTTACTTAATTTACAAATATACAAACTAAATAAATAGATTAATGGTGATTATATTATGCCTAATTCATTTTTGTATGGATCATTAATATCAAACATTATTTTGTCATTTTAGTCTATAATAAAATTTTATTTCACTAAAATGCTAACTAACATACTGTAGTTTATCGTATAAATCAATTAAAATTTATTATTTATTATTATTTTATGAACGGGGAATTTATAAAAGGTTGATTTGAACTCTGCTTACAATACGACTGAATAGCATTGAAAATTAAAATTTATAAGTATTTCTATTAACATTATTTAAAAAGTTCATGTCACCTTTTCGTATATTCCTAACTCATATTTAATAAATTATATATACAGTATATTATATATAATAAGTTTTAATAGTAATGAGATTATACAATTGAGTACAATATTATAAAATAATATTTAATACAGCATTGGATGTCAAAATAGAAGTTAATTGCATCAAGTCAAGCTTATTGTGAAATGGCATTAAGGTATTTTAAATTCCTTAAATTATTTTTATTTATAATCTAATTTTTAAATAAAACTTCATTAATTAAAATTTAATTATATTTATTTGAATTCTTAAGAAGTTTACAATATAAACAAATTACATAAGCATTTGAAACATAATATTCGTGTACAAACATATAATATAATATAGTAAATAATATAACAAATTAATGTTATAATCAAATTTAATTCATGTAACTTATTATAATTTATATAATATATTTATTAATAGAGTAAATAATACTAGCTAAAGTAAATAATTTAAACACACACTCAAACATAAATGCAATTAAACAAATACTTAACAAATAAATTGTCATAAAAAATAATGATTGCATTTCAGTGATAGTCAAGTGTTGGTAGGGGTCGACTGTTTTGGCGTAGAAATCGGTTAGAGGTTTGTCCATTAAAACACTGTTTTCGGCGATATTTTTGTAGATTTGAATGTAAAATGTATTTCTCGTGAGATACCAGCGCTGCAAAAGTGATGCCTCGTATAGACGTTGTGTACTAATCATACAAATAATTCAAAATATTTTTCATAAAATTTATATTAAAACTCACATAATTTGTGATATATTAGTGAATTGAAAGTGGGGTCCGTAACAGAGCGGTGTCATGAGCACCGGTAGGTATGATTGCCCGGTATGTATGGACGCAAATTTAGTGCCAAACACGATAAGTATATCAATCCATGTCTGGTCCTGAATGATGACAACATTTTGCAGACTTTTACGGAAAATTTCAGGACTTTTGGTTGAATCTGCGAAGTTATTGAACGCCTCCAAAGTTTCCCAATTTATAAAATTAGCACTTGTTATCAAATTTTTAAAACTCATTTTAAATGAATTATTTTGTAAGCCATGGATAAAGCGAGGGTCTGTCCACTCCCTGTGATTATGACCACTCGTGTATACCTCTAATTTATCGTCCATTAGGTCTTCAATAGTATGCGCGTATAGTAACCGACGTGTTATCAGATTAGCTAACAATTCATTTTTTTTATGATTTCCACGACAGGTATGAGTGATATTAACCATAATAAGTATAAATAGTTGACATAAATAGGTTGCTCCCATATGCCTAACATTGGCTTAAAGAATATCCATATAAATCCTAGCATTGAGTGCCATACTCACACTTTAATGACAACTAGCCTGGTAACAACTTTGAATTTTAAATTGAAACATAAATCAATAGAAGCAAACCATGCAAACATTGAAACAAATTAAATTAAAATACATTAAATATATTATGCAATACGGTGTGAAACCTAACGAAAAATATTTGAAATATAAAATATATATCATATTTAAACATTTCTACAATTAATACGATAAAAGCAAAACTAAAACAATAAAAAATAAATACGAAAAGCGATTGCATTTCAATAAGAGTTAGGCACTGGACCCGTGTGCTCGTGTCCAGGTACAAGTCGGACAAACTTTTACCATTTAGCAAATCGTTATTATTAGCAATCACTAGTACAATATCAATGTAAAACTGTTTACTCGCTTTCACCCAATATGTCAACAGCGATGCCTCAAATAGCCGTTGAGTGCTGCATACAAAATTTATAATCAAGATCATTATAATGTAACAAAAGAATAAAAAACACCTACATAATATTTGTCTCATTAATAAATGTAAACTGTGGTCCATAACATAGGGCGGTTATGAGGGCCGGTAGATATGATTGACCCAAATGGACGGATGCCATACGCGCTGCGTATTGGTAACCAATGTCGACAAATATTTGGTCCAAAACGGCGACCGTATACTTCATTTTGTCATATATGAGGTCCATATGATCTAAATATTTTAAATTTTCTTGAATACTGTCGTGGGAATCAACTGGTTTTAGCTTATGTCTCACTAATTGTAATAATTTTGCGTTAAATGTGTTATTATGTAAGCTTTTAATGAACCCTGTTGAATTCAACTGGCCGTATGTATAGGGATCGGTATATACATCGACTCTGTCATTCAATATGTCATCGATAGTGTGCAGGTTAATAAAAGGTCGTGTAACTAGGTTTCCCAGTAGCTTGTTTCGTAGGATTTCCATTAATGGGATGAGACATATAATCCAGAAAATGTATAAATAATTGAAGTACTGGTGCTCATGTGTACCTAACAATGGCTTAAAATATATCCATAAATATGTGAATACAGAATGGTTTTTATATTTATTATATTGATATTTATCTCGAAATTTATTAATAATAATGAACACAAATAATGAGCTAATTATGAAATACCAGACATTTGTGTCCAAACCCTTCCAGATGTCAATAATTGGTGGCAATGGTTCATAAGTGTTAAAGCTTATTATATTAATTAAGTTAGTCATATAAACTGGCCTTGTACAGTTATAAAACACAGTTTCCTTAATAAAGTCAATTTGATGTCTGTTAGGACAAGATAACTGTCCACTCATTGCCATATTATACTCCAATTGGTTTCCGTAGTCATCGGGAGGGCAGTTAAATACATACAGATGTACACTATATACACATAATATTATTACTTAAAATATTACAATTTATAAGTATCTTATATCGTGTTTACATAAAATTGTATAATATCATACCTATAATTAACCAATTGACCTATCTCAATTAGAACTGATGCGGTCAATGAATGATAATATGCTGTACTTTGATAGTTGCTTTCATAAAACTGAACCTGTTTAATTTAAATAATTAATATTGAATACTAAAAATCTGTTGTAAATTTAATTATTATAGTACTTACAGCTTGAGAGTCCGTTTGGATATACAACACATTTTGCTGATTAGATAATAAATGATCAGGCAAAGTATAATTAGATGGTTGTAATTGATCGCAGTCTATATAAGACATGTTAATATTATCCACGTATTTATGCCAATAACCAAATGAATGCTTTTCAATGTATTGCGTGAGATCGCCATACATTGAAATTATATCTCTCATCGATATCATTGTTTGTATATATATTGAATTAAACTTCAAAACTTGATGTTAACCTGGAAATATAATATAGTTTCAAAATGGGTACGTTAAATAATTTCAATATCTAATAATCAAATACATTTTAGTAAACATTTACGACACAGGTTGGTAATTATGTGAATCATGTAATATACAAAACAGATTATTTTTAGTTTGTTATTAATTCAATACATCTGAAATTAATTAAATACAATAACAATAATAAATATCTTGAATAGTTTTCTAATTAGAAATGCTTTAAAACATAATATATATTTTTAATGAAAATAAATAAATTAATTTAATAGCTTTCAAAATTATGCATTATTTTAACATTAAATCACCAAGTTTACACAATGTCATAATAACTATTATAAACTAAAATAACGTTATAAGTCAAACGAGTATACCACCTATTTTGTTGTTAAACATTATTACATTTATAACGGCATGTAATATCATTTTTATTACATTAACTGAGCTTGTTTTAATTTACAAATATACTTTTGTAAAATATTTTTCAATTAAAATAGGTTAATTGAGATTATTTAAAAGTAAATGTTTGTTACCACGATAACTTGACTGCATTGAATATTATGTTTTCCTGCGATATAAAAATTAAAATCTAAAAATGTTTTAAACATCAAAACAGTATGAACTGAAAACACATACAATTAAATGCAATATATTATACTTACTTATAAGTTTATTAAACTATATTTATATTTACTTAATTTACAAATATACAAACTAAATAAATAGATTAATGGTGATTATATTATTCCTAATTCATTTTTGTATAAATCATTAATACCAAACATAATTTTATCATTTTAGTCTATAATAAAATTTTATTTCACTAAAATGTTAACTAACATACTGTAGTTTATCGTATAAATCAATTAAAATTTATTATTTATTATTATTTTATGAACGGGGAATTTATAAAAGGTTGATTTGAACTCTGCTTACAATACAACTGAATAGCATTGAATATAAAATTTATAAGTATTTCTATTAACATTATTTAAAAAGTTCATGTCACCTTTTCGTATATTCCTAACTCATATTTAATAAATTATATATACAGTATATTATATATAATAAGTTTTAATAATAATGAGATTATACAGTTCAGTACAACATTATAAAATAATAAATATATATATATATAATAAATAATAAATTTATTTAATACAGCATTGAATGTCAAAATAGAAGTTAATTGCATCAAGTCAAGCTTATTGTTGTGAAATAGCATTAAGGTATTTTCAATTACTTAAATTATTTTTATTTATAATCTAATTTATAAATAAAACTTCATTAATGAAAATTTAATTATATTAATTTGAACTTATTATAATTTATATAATATATTTATTAATAGAGTAAATAATACTAGCTAAAGTAAATAATTTAAACACACACTCAAACATAAATGCAATTAAACAAATACTTAACAAATAAATTGTCATAAAAAATACATATACTGTACAAGGATATTTATTATATTATACTTACATCAGTTGGCAAGGCTTTCATATAAAACTTTTTATTAGACAACATATTCAGTGATGTGTTAAAATTGCAGTCAATGTAAGTCATATTAACACCAAGCACAAATCTATGCCAAAAACCGAAATTATGTGCCTCGATGTATTTCTGAACATTGCCATATATGAGCATCAGATTTCTTAATTCATCCATTATATCAATAAATAAAATGTTTATTTTATTTGCTAAAAACTTATTATTAATATTTAAGACAGTTTTTTCACTATCATATAAATGGACTAGTACATTATTATTAAATTATCTGAGTAAAAACATAGTTTAGTGACAAATATAGAAAGCGCACTATACGCCGGGGCGCACTATCTCACGTCAAACAGGGTAAATGGAATCCACAAATGGTCCACATATTTATGCCAATAACCAAATGAATGCTTTTCTATGTATTGCGTGAGATCGCCATACATTGAAATTACATCTCTCAGAGAAACCATTGTTTTTGAATATTTAAAAACTTTAAAACTTTAATTTAAACTAAAAATATAAAACATTTACAAAATGAGTAAATTAATTAATTTCAATATCTAATAATAAAACACATGTTAGTAAACATTTACGACATAGTTTTGTAATTATGTGAATCAAGTAATAAACACGCAGATTATTTTTAGGTTATTATAATCCAACACATTTGAAATTAATTAAATACAATATTAATCATTTTGCTCAATATTATATATTTATTTAGAAATATTTATTTATTATATATTTCTAATTAGTCCTTTAATTAGAAATTTTTTTAATCAATAATTTGTTTTAATTGTGTACTATTTCATAATATGAATATATTATGAATATATGTATATTATGCAACAATATTTAAAGGATATTATATATTTTTAATTTATGTTTAAAATTATTATGAACATCACAAATAATCTATTTATATTCACAAAATTTTAATGTACAATTCACTTACCGTTCAAAATTATGCATAATTTTGACATTAAATCACCAAGCTTACACAATGTAATAATAATTATTATAAACTAAATTATAAGTCATACGAGTAATCCACTTATTTTGTTGTTAAATATATTACATTTAATGCGATTATAACGGCATGTAATATAATTTTTAATACATGAATTGAAATTGCTTTAATTTACAAATATACTGTACTTGTTGAAATATTTTTCAATCAAAATAGATTAATTGAGATTATTTCAAAGTAAATATGGTTACCATGATAACTTGACTACATTAAAAATTATGTTTACTCTTATTAAAATTAAAATCTAAACATCAAAACAGTATGAACTGAAAACACATACAATTAAATGCGATATATTGCACCTACTTATAAGTTTGTTAAACTATTTTTATAATTACTTAATTTAAAAATAAACAAACTAGATAAATAAATTAATGGTGATTATATTATTCCTAATACATTTTTGTATTAGATAATTAAATTTTATAATAGTTTTTCGATCATAAACATCTGATACATAATATTCTCGTAAAAACTTATTAATAGCATATAATATAACAAATTAATATTATAATCAAATTTAATTAATGTAACTCATATAATATATTTATTCATTGAATAAACAATAGTAAAATAAGTATATAATCTAACTATACACTCAAACATGAATACAATTAAACAAATACTTAACAAACAGATTGTCATAAAAAATAATGATTGCATTTCAATGATAGTCAAGTGTTGGTAGGGGTCGACCGTTTTGGCGTAGAAATCGGTTAGAGGTTTGTCCATAAAAACATTGTTTTCGGCAATATTTTTGTAGATTTGCATATAAAATGTATTTCTCGTGAGATACCAGCGCTGCAAAAGTGATGCCTCGTATAGACGTTGTGTACTAATCATACAAATAATTCAAAATATTTTTCATAAAAATTAAGTTAAAACTCACATAACTTGCGATATATTAGTGAATTGAAAGTGGGGTCCGTAACAGAGCGGTGTCATGAGCACCGGTAGGTATGATTGTCCGGTGTGTATGGACGCAAATTTGGTGCCAAACATGATAAGTATGTCAACCCATGTCTGGTCCTGAATGATGACTACATTTTGCAAATTTTTACGGAAAATTTCCGGACTATTGGTGGTATCTGCGAAGTGACTCAATGCGTCCAAAGTGTCCCAACGTTTGAAATGACCACTTGTTATCACATTTTTAAAACTCATTTTAAATGAATTATTTTGTAAGCTATCGATAAAGCGAGGGTCTGTCCACTCCCTGTGATTATGACCACCCGTGTATACCTCTAACCTATCTTCCATTAAGTCTTCAATAGTATGCGCGTATAGTATCCGACGTGTTATCAGATTAGCTAACAATTCATTTCTTATGATTTCAACGACAGGTATGAGTGATATTAACCATAATAAGTATAAATGGTTGACATAAATAGGTTGCTCCCATATGCTTAACATTGGCTTAAAGAATATCCATATAAATCCCATCAGGGTGTTTGGAAATTTATTATCGTAGACTTTGTTTGTAATTTTATACATAATAAATAAGATGATTAAAACTCCTAATATAGTGTACCAGACACTAGTGTCCAGTCCTTTCCATATGTTATAAATGGGTGGTAAAGGCTTATACGAATTGATACTTAGGATGTTTAGTAGATTAGTTACATACAATGGTTTTGAACAATTATACCCCAGACTACTATCAGTATTTAATAAATAATTAACTGGAGTTTTATCTAAGACTGATAACTTTCCACTTAATATCATTTGGTGCTCTGATAGTCGATATTTATCGCACTTATACACAATTAGATGGATACTTTAAATAAAAAAATTATCAATTATTATATAAAATATTTTTATAAATAAGATTTTTAAAAATAAGTTCACCTATAATTGGTAACCTGGCAAATTGCATTCAAAATCGATGCAACAATAGATCCAAAATAGACTGACCTTTCACCTTCAATCTCAATGAACTCTTTCTGTATTATAAGTCATATATGAATAAATACATATACTGTACAAGCATATTTATTATAATATACTTACATCAGTTGGCCAGGCTTTCATATAAAACTTTTTATTAGACAACAAATCCAGTGATGTGTTAAAATTGCAGTCAATGTAAGTCATATTAACACCAAGCACAAATCTATGCCAATAACCAAAATGATGTGCCTCGATGTAATTGTGAACATTGCCATATATGAGCATCAGATTTCTTAATTCACTCATTACATTAATAAATAAAATGTATATTTTATTTGTTAAAAACTTATTATTAGTATTTAAGACAGTTATTTCACTAACATATAAATGGTCTAGTACATTATTATTAAATCAAAGGAGACAACATTTTAAATGTACAAACATAAATATTGTATATTATTTTAATGCAGTCAAAGCCTATCAAATTTTCCAATATGTTTTAAATATATCTTTGTTATATAATTTAAAAATAAATCTCGTTATTTTTTAAATAACTAAAATAATTTACAATATTAAAATTACAATATTGTAAAACTATTAGTTACGTGTATATACTATCATACATTAATATATTACAAGTTCAGTAAAACGGGCTTATAAGGTATTGATTATTTATTTAATAATGGTATACAGTAGATGCCAAGTAAACAGTAGATTTAATAATAATTTATAAAAATAAATAGAAATAAATTATTAAAGTCTTAGGAATACGCCCGTATAAAACACAAATGAAACATGTTTACATTCAAAACTTTTCAAAATAGTATATGTGTAAACCTAAAACCATTTAAAGAATTTTGCTATGTAGCGTTAACTGTATATGAAATATTTATTAAACTTCTATCATACTTTTATTAAACTTATTCATTATAAAAGTATGATAGAAGTTTAATAAATATTTCATATACAGTAAACGCTACATAACAAAAACCTTTAAAT